CGCTGGCCTTCAGCGCCCGCCCGCCCCCGGCCGCCGCTGCTTAGCCGCTCCCGCTCCCCTGCCCCGTGCCGCCGCGGGCAGCGCGGCCCCGAGCCATGCGAGACGCAGGGAGTCCGGGCTGGACGTAGCGGAAGCGACTCGGAACCCTAGGAAAGCCCAGTCCTTCCGCTGCGGAGTCCAACCCTGGCTTCACTCCAGGCGGTCCTCCGGCCCTGCAGAGGCTCGTTGGGCACACGGTGCTCCGGAGCCGGCCTGTGACACATGCACAGAGCCTCTTCCCGGGTGTTGCGCAGCCACGTCCCGCTCGGACCCCTCGCAGCCCTCGGACTGGTCCCAGCAGCTGCACGCCCCCGTCCCCAGGATGTTGGTTCAGTGAGATCCTCAGCCAGAGCAAGGCGGAGTGCTTCTGTATAGAGATGAGGCTGCACTAGCGTAGACCCCAGCGCCTCTCACGCCTCCCTGCCTCGCCATCCGAGCGGAAGCTGCAGGTGGAACCCAGCCCTGCACTCAATGCGTGCTGAGTAGCTCAGCGTCCCGCACCCGCACAGGGTACTTAACAGCTGATCTGTAGCAAGACAGCTACCGTGAGATCCGCAGTTCCCCGGGGTGTGCAATGTGGATAAGCAGCAGGTCGCGACCCAGCTAAGACAGCAACATGGCACAAAATTCATCCCAATGCCCAGAGTAACACTTAAAGCTTAGGGGTTCGTTATTTCTGGAATCCTTCATATGTTCAGACTATAGTTGTCAGTGGGTAATTGAAATAGGTAAGCAAAATCCTAAATACGACTACAAGAGCTAATCAGCTAATAACGCAAATGAGAAATGTCATCTTTTTATCGTTGGGAATTAGAGATTAATTGGGGTCAGGAAAGGGGAAATGAGCTGCAAAACAGAAGGAACAAAGTATGACAAGAGTGGGCTGGGGTATAGCTCCGTGGTAGAGCACTGGGGCAGCATGCAAGGGCCCTGACCTGCTGACGAGTCAAAACCAAAACCTCATGCGAAGCTACACTGACTTAATGACTTGGTGATAGGAAATTTCTTGGTTTTACTTTTGCAAAATGGAGATATCGTTACCGACTTTGTTGAGTATAAAAGTTATATATTGGCTGGGCGTGGTGGCGCACGTCTTTAATCCCAGTACTCGGGAGGCAGAGGCAGGCGGATCTCTGAGTTCAAGGCCAGCCTGGTCTACATAGTGAGCTCCAGGACAGCTGGGGCTACAGGGAGACCCTGCTTCAAGAAAAAGACAAAAAAAAAGTTATACATTTTTTTAAAACATGAATATTGATGTAGTATCTATTTTAAAATATTGCCAGTGAGGAAAATGTCACAGAATAAAAAATTATACTTTTTAAAAAGGTATATTACTAGTTATATTCATTTGCCTGGATGAAATATATGTTGGAGACTGGATGTTTAAACAACGGAAACCTATTTTCTCATAATACTAGAGGCTCCAAGTCCAAGATGGAGATGCCAAGGGGCTGGTTTCTTCTGGGGCCTACCTCCTTTTGATTGCAGATACCTATCCTGGCCTGCCCCACTTTCAAAAGTTCTTCATTGTGCCTGTATCTTAATCTCTTATAAGGTCACCACTCACTAGATTAGGGTCCACACTAGTGACTTCATTTTAATGACCTCTTTGAAAGAGAAGCTGGAAGGAAGTTAACAAAGCAACTCCCTTAGTACTGTCCTATTACCTCTACTGGCAGCCAGCTGTAGCCAGCTAACACAGCATCACTGAATTTGGAGAAGACAGAGGTGGCTTCTGAGAACTGAACTCAGGAAAACTCTTTCTCACATATTTGAACTTCTACATAATGTGATATCGTTACCCTTCTCCCTAAGTACAACTATCCTGTGGGTAGAGGCCTCCTTACCTCTAAAATGAGGAGACGCTAGGCTCAGCTGTTACTGGAAGGCAATCAAACCATCTACTTTGGTTCCATTCATATCTTGTTTCTGTTACCTAAAGACTAAATTGTAAAGTTAACTTCTGCCAGAACTTGTATGAGATCACAGAAGGAAAAAGAAGAAAGTAATTCATATTTACAGTGTACATACATGCGTGCACCTAGCAAACAATAAAGACGGTGTATACACTTTGCACAGTCCTCCCCTCGGTAGTTGCTTCTCTTTGGCAGCATGAGGTCCCAGCTGATAACACAGGATCCCAGCTGGTATCCCGGGGTCCCGGCTGATAACACGGGGTCCCAGCTGGTATCATGGGGTCCGGGCTGATAACAGGGGATCCCAGCTGATAACACAGGGTCCCGGCAGTATCACGGGGTCCCAGCTGGTATCATGAGGTCCTGGCTGGTATCATGGGGGTCCTAGCTGATACCTGTAACTATTCCCCACCAATTATTTCATGTTTCCTTAGTAACACTGAGTTCTTTGCCTGGTGAGGTTACCCTCATTCCTGAAGAGTCTTCATGATCAACGGTCTAGGCATAGTTTGGTTGCTAATGTTCCCATTAAATAAAAGACATACAGTCATTTTTACCCTCACAGAATGTCAGCAACCAGTTGCACCTTGTAGTCAGGTTCAGTCTCCCTAGCCAGTAATGCAGCTCCCTTAGTTACTGTCGCCCAGTGGCATGTAGGGTACCGAATGTGGAAGTGGGGTTTTATCTTTAATCTCGATGTTGTGGTCTCATGGGAGCAGCTGAGGTCGAGTGGAGTTCAGCCTTGTAGAGATAGAAAGCAAACATTCTGAAAGCAGGTATGATAATAAAAGCCGCCACACACTTTATCCCTTTCATGTGTATGTGGTGTGTGTGTATGTGTATGTGTGTGTGTATATGTGTGTACATACTAGCGTGTGCACACATATGAAGGCCAGAGGTCAACATCGGGTGTCTTCCTCAATCACTCTCCACATTATTTTTGAGATAGAGTGTCTCCCTGAACCTGGAGCTCTCTGATACAGCTAGACCTACTGGCCAGTGAGCCTGGGGACTCTCCCTGTCTCTGCCTCTCCAGTGCTGGACAGGCACCCAGACACCCTGCATTTTACATGGGTTCTGGGAGGTCGAACTCAGGCCCTTACGCTTGTTTACACAGGTGGCACTTTTCCAGCTGAGCCTGTCTCCCCAACCCTCCTTTTTTCCTGATTGTTGTATTCTGACTAAGGGAGGAACGGCACCATATTTGACCTCTGACTTAAAATATAAGCTGCATCTTGTAGGACATCACACCCAGCCATGGCAGTCCATATAGATGTTCCCAACCTCAGAAGGCTGCAGCAAGAGGATTACTATGGGTCCCAGGCCAGCCTAGGCTACATAGTGAGTTCCAGACCAGCCTAGACTACAGAGTAAGACTCTATCTCAGTCAATCATTAGGATAAGTTCCTGACCATGCAGCTTATTCTTTCTGGATGTTCCCTGAGCAACTGGGTCTTCAAAAGCCATTGCATGCTCTGTTAGGGCAGCTGCTTCCTAGAGAAAGAATAGATGGCAAGACTGGTGAATTTCATGGCCATGAGCTGGTTACTACTTTCCTTTTCATCTGAAATCAGTTCCATGAGAAGCAGTTATTCCAAATACAGTGAAAATGATGACAGTTAATGAGTGCACAGATAGTGGTGCTGGCAAAAGTAATCCATAATGCCGTGAGGACAAATGCAGATCCACAATATGTCTAATCCACTGGAAAGAGCTCTCTTCCCTCCCACCCAGGAAGAAAATGATACAACATAACCGACTCCAGATATGCCTCTTGTTCCTCCAAGGAAGCATGCAAACCATGTTGGTTTGTGCTGTTGGTGAATTAGGAGCTCCGCAGTAGTAGTGTATCTAGCAAGGTCAGCCTTGGTGATCATATTGCTGAGCCCATGCAGAGCCTCTTTTAGACAATATGACTGCTTTGTACCTGTCTATTGAGAAAGCAGTAGGATGGCTGGGGAAAGTGAGGGATACGCTCTTCATTCACCTAGTTACAAAAGTTTGCCATTCAGATGATGCTCTTCAGGGAGCAGTGGTGTAGGACCCATATTCCTACCCTGTTGCCCATTCTGAAAGATGCATCCACATACTTGGTCCGCTTTGTATCAACTTTGCAATCCTGTTTTCTCTGAATTCCTAACCATGTAGCTTAAATGTTAGCACCTACCCACAAATCAGTGCACACCCACACTCTGT